TTACACTTCAGTCTGTAATCAAACACGTCAGGTTGTCTGATAACCTGGATTTGTATGATGGATTTTAGCTAAATACAGGGGCAGCTTAAACATTTTATGGCTCTCTCCTCAAATTAAAGTTTTTTTTTTCTTTTCATTTTACTGTAATCCCCTCTAAAAGGTGTCATATCCCATTACACGAATTTGGATATGGTAAATTAACGAAGCGAGTTCTTACCCTCTGAATATGTTGACTTCTTTGTGCTGTGTGCAGAGGGTTAGCTTGCTGGGGGTTGGGGGTGTCTTTAACTCTAAAAAGTTGTCTTGAATTTTCTATCTTCTGAAGATGATGTGTTTTTGCAATTCAAATATTTGCTCATTCTCTTCTCCATTGCAAAGCTCCCTTTGAAGCGGAAGAGTTCTATCAGGCCCAATGACAGTGTGAGTGTGCAGCGTGACAGAGCAAGAGGCAGCACTGGACTATTTCTAACTGCATATTTAAATAGCAAGGAAGTCCAAAATCAAAAATGTATGCAAATGACAGCATGTTTTGCATGCTGATATTTTTATGATGTGCTGCTTGCATATTCAGGTGGTGTAGCTTCAGCAGCATTAATCAGAATTACTTCATGGCTTCACCACAACCTTGATCTTCTTTTAAAACAAACATTTCAGGGGGTGGAAGGCCTGCAATTTGGCAGGTTTACTTTTCATGAAAGCGTTTCTTAATGTTTTTATGGACTGTTTTGAGCGGAAAGACATACTGAAGGCCTTGGGCTTCACAGGGAAGTATGTAACCCTGAAGATATTGCAAATTATTGAAGACCTACAGTAACTACCTGATCTCCTTTACATTCATTACACCTGTATTCCTTCTTAATGTTATGTGAGAAGCTTCTCTTCACTTAATTGAAGTTTGTGATGTATTCATTATATTGAGCATTAGCACCATGAGGCTTTATGTGGGTGCTTTCAGAAAGCTGTTGATGCAACGAGCATCATATCAAGACAGAGCTCCTGAAACAGGCCTGTGGCCTGTCTGCACTCCTTAAAGTATAGAAAATACAGTATAAAATAATTAATTGAATTGTCATCTGTATGAGCAGCCCTTGCTCTCTGCACCCTATAATTCCAACCTCTTTCTCCCCCTTCCCCTCACCACATTTTTTTCCTTCTTTTTTTTTTCTAAACAGCAATTAATCTCATTTTTAGTCCAATTTCCAGCCCTCTGCTGGAGTCAGAGCGAGTCCTCTGTTTTGTTCCTATTTGGCTTGGTTCCTCTGCATAGTCATTAAGGGCCCAATTAATGTCACCCTTTAGCTGAAGAGTGCTCATTTTTATTGGGGAGCTGACAGTCACCGCCATGAGTGCCGCAGTGTAATATGCATTAATTGCCCCGTAACACTGGTAATTACCAGTTCTTCAAGCCTCTCAGTAAACTGTCATGCCCAGACACGACTGCTTTGAAATAGATTACTCATTAGGGGGACCTGCCCTGTTTTCCAGTGGGTGCTTACTGGGTTGGCATAAAGACGAAAAAAATCTGGTGCTTGAACAAATAGTTGCCAAGAGCAATTTCCTATTACAACTTTCCTGGTGACGGCTTTTCTTTCTCTTTCTTTCTTTCTTTCTTTCTATCTTTCTTCCTCCTTCTTTTTTTTCTTCAGATGGCTTTTCACTCGTCACTTGAGGTAAAGATCAGACGTAGAGTTATAGGTCCATCACAGATCTTGCTGATAGCAGTCGGTTTGTCTTCCAGTCCCAGTTTGACTCCTTGAATGAAAATGTGCTTTGGGATTTCACCATTCAGCATATTGCCTTAACTAAATTCTTCTTTTGATTGCATTTTGGTCTTTTTTTTCCTTTACACACCATTGCCCTGAATGCCCAGAGTTTACTGTACAAGTACTACATTGAAGGTGTCAGTAGTGCTGCTTGATGTGACATTTCAGGGCCTAGTGTTTTTATAATAGTATCAAGGCAGTGTTAATGTAACGCTCTTGTTCAAATATTGATGCTAAATTTGCTTGGCTCCTGTGTTTGCAAACTGTGGAATCGCTGTTTAAAACATTAGCTTGTGCTTCACAGTTCCTGAAACGTGTCCTGCGTATCTGGAAAAAAAGAAATTGATAGTGAATGCAAACAGATGAATTTAAAGAAACGGTTAGAGGACAAAAGCTGAGGATGTAGTGTGGGTGTCACCGTTGCTTTGCGATAAGATATTATAAAAGAGAGACCAAATCAAACAATGTTAGCTATTGCACATTTTCTGCACAAAAAGGTGTTGGCCTATTTAGTCATGCTAGAAACAATATTTAGATTTCACCACAGCTTTGTAAATACTCTGTGTGCACTGAGCTGATTCCTCTCTGGTCCCTGTTGTTTCCTTCTTTCTGTTTTCTTTTTTTCCAAAAACATTTTTGTGTCATTACCCATTTACCCCAGCATGGAAAAGAACAGTTTGTGAAGACCAGGACAAACCTCTGACACTCACACAGATAGAAAACACACAGAGCTTCACAAAGGTGCTGCCTTTGTTTTAACTTCCTTATAGCACCTGCTTCAGGCAATCTGCTCCCACTCGTCTCAAATGAATTTTGTCACGGCCTTTCAGATTCTCAGCCAGCGACGCGCTAATGAAAGGAGATGGTACAATTTGAACTGACCAGGTAGCAGCCAGCAGTGCACAGCTAAAAGCAAGGGATTGGGACACACCCCTCCTTGAAACAAAAGACAAGTCAACCATCCGCTGATATACCCATTACCCTTCTCATTAATACCCTGCAGATTTTGCTGTGAGTGTGTATGCCCGTGTGCACCTGTGCATGCGTTTATCTGTTTGTGTTGGTTGAGCACTTATCGAATTGTTTATGACAGGTCTAATTGGGCTAATTGAAGACATTAAGATTACCTGTCAGCTGTGTGTATCCAGACTCCCTGTCTGTCTGACAACTCCTGACAAGTGAGGGGCCCCGTAGCATCCGTCATGATGGAGCATTCCCAGGCTGAAATAGGGACAACAGGGGCCACTCTAATTTGATATGGACAGCCATAGCTGCACATATCAGCCTCCTTCTCTCTCTCTGTGTGTGTGTGTGTTAAGTATAAGTGAGAGTTGGGGGCTCTGTGCATGGCCAGGCTAATGCAGTCCCCTTTGGCAATGTGACAAAGTGATGAGGCAGTCTGAGAGGAAAAGCAAAAAGGGTCTTCAAGTCTTTAAGGACATGAGAGGGAAGGTGCTCAGGGTGACAGCCTTCACTGATTGAGTGACAAGAGAGGAGCGCTGACATCTATGTGTCTGTGTGGTTGTGGATGATCTCCCATACTGCTTTATCAGAGACACCCAAACTTTATACTTGGGGAGAGACCACCTGTAACTAATGGACCCACTTTGGTTGACCATCCTTTGCATATGTATGCATTCTGTCATTTATCACATATACAGAAGACCGTGTATAAGAAATATCATGCACATAATGTTTAAATATGTCTTACTTTGAACTGTATCAATGGAAATGTAGTTCAGTGAATGATTTTTTTTCCTTTGAATCATTAAGTTACAGATATTCATGGAACACATTTGAAGCAGAGCACAGGCCTATATCTTCTTAGGCTTAAGGAATGTGCCTTTGCATATCCATATCAATCCATCCCCCCTCCTTTCCCCCCCTAACGCTGCTCTCCTGTGTGGGCATTGTGTGGGCTTTGCAGTGTCATCACCATGACAGATAAACGCTGTCAGCCCAGGAGATCCCTCTGTTTGTTTGTTCTTCTCCAAAAGGGGTTGAACTGTCAAGTTGACAACTCATGAGACCCTTAGACTCTGCCCTACTGCCTCTCCCCGGTTTCTCTGTCTCTCCCCATGGCCCCCCTCCCTCCCATTCACCTTCATCCACAAACGAGTGAAAATCAATACCAGATTGCCTGAGGACCACTGTTTGGTGTGGGCCTCACCCCTAGATGTCCCCCACTCTGCTTCTTTCATTACATGTAGCCCAGTATTTAACTTCCATCCTGATCCCTCGCCTAATTAGTTTCGATAAGCTCTGAGCCTCTCTACCTTCCTCTCTCTCTCGTGCGGTCTCCTTCTCTCTTACACGCGCTCTTTCACACACACACACACACACACACACGAACACTGCAAACACACATGGCTATTTTGCTTTCCTGGCCTTTGAAGGGACACTCTGGGATGGTAATAATAAAAAGACAAATCCCAAAACGCACACAGAAGCCCTCAGCGATGCTTGAGCTAGGATTATTGTTTTGTTTATATTGCAAATTTTTTAAAACTACAATGAAATTAGATTTGCACCCCAGATCATCAGTGAAAACACTGGAGATATCCTGTGTTGTCCAAAGCTAATGGTGCTCTGTGGTGGGCTTGTTAGTGAGACTAGGCCCATGTTTGTGTTTTGTCATGAGGCCTCCTTGTCAGCTTGTTTCTCAGTTTAGTTGTCCAGTCACATAGTAGCCATTTATATGATATGAAAGATGCAAATTGGTAATTTCCTAATACTAAACTTGATCAATAGCTGAGTGGCACAAACACAGGTAATAGTTCCAGGGGTTTTGTGTGTTGGAGGTCTATGTCTCTTTGTGTATGTGTGTGTTTTTATGTACCACCCACATGTCCATTGCGCTGGCTGCCCCATTGACCACTGACAAGCTCCAACGACATGTTGGCCCCCCTGCTCTGCTCTCCTCCAGGGGTTAAAATTACCCTCAGGAATGTAAACAGACTGCCGAGTAAGCACACAGCTTTCTGTGAGCCCTTGCCTGTGTCCATATCCAAACTCGACCCCCAAACTGGGACGGTTCCATGTTGGACTCAGAGGCCAAGGTTGATGGCAAGGATGCCTTAACCTGGCATCGACTGGTTTGTCACAGCTGTTCTCTGTTCAAGTAACACCACAAATACAGTGTTTACGTGTCTAATGATGATAATCATATTGGTGGAATGCAAATGTTCTACGCAACAGCTGAAGAAGAATAACCATCATTTTACTTTTTCTCCTCAGGACTCCTTTCCCCTATCCAACAGAGAGATAGGCATTCACACCAGTTTATTAGGTGTAAGTGCTCTAGTCTAGCTGAAAAAGTTCACTGGGCCGGGCGCTGACATGTTGATTTAGTAGCGGTAACACGACTGCACTTCCAAAGGTGCTGACTTGGACAAAAGCCAGGCCTCTTTTTTTCCCATGGAGACATTAGAGGTCACACTCTAATTGTGGGGCAGGGTTCAACTCATGGATGCAGAGGCCAGGACACAACAACACCTGCTTTTTCATGCTTAACTTCTGATTTAGCCGTCACTGAAGTGGCGGTAGAATTTAACATATTAAACTTATTCCTGAACCTGACAAATGAATAAACCAGTGGATAGTATGTCCTTTTCAGAATGTAAATGCAAGTTGCTGTGAGGAGTGACATAAAAAATATACAGTGTGTATGTGTCGTGTTGCAAAAATGTCATTTGCAATTAAACGTATCCATAACATCTTTGTCTATTATAATAGATTTTTTTGTTTTGTTTTGTTTTTTTTTACATTTCTCAGAGAACTTTATTCTTGTTTTCTTTAATCACAACACAAAATAAGTTTAGAGGACAAAGGACATAACATAGAAGGTAAGACAAGCAGACATAGTGATTTTTACATTTAGTTAATGTGTGTGTGTAGCGTGGGTGTATTCAACTCTATGCAGTCTGTTTAATTTTATTTCTCTTTCTTTTTAATATATACTGAATAGCAAAGTAAATTAATAAATTCGGTAAAAATGGCAAAAATTACATATTTGTTGAAAATGGGAAAAAAAAAATTCATATTGTTTCTGCATTTAATCCATGGTGTACTTATAAAAAGTGCCCTGACCTTAATTGTCTTAATATACATTAATCAGTAAATGTTTGTGAAGTGACTTGGGACATCTTGTACAACTTGCTTGTGTAACATTGCCCCTTCCTGTTACACGGCGCATGTGGAGATGTTCTTATGTTTATTTCAGCATGGTAGACAAACAACCAAGTATCAGGCACACATCCTGTGACCTCACCTATAAACATGATATCATCACCCATACAAATACACATAACACTGTTCCTCTGCTGGACACATCAGGTTTGCAGGCGCCCGGTCAGACTGACAGTGCCCTAGCGAGGGCAGATAGGGTTACAGTGCAAACTGTTGTTGATTAGGACCCTGTCTGTAGTGAGGGATCATCCTAAATTGAAAACACATTAGCCATCAGGGTTAAGGGCAGGATTAGGACCAGGGCTCTGCAGCGTGAGAAGCAGCGGCAGACACAAAATGGTCGTCCCTCTGCCTGCCTTGACCGTCTTTCCCCAGAGGCACGTGGCAATTATCGGCCAGGGCTGCTGGGAGTTCACAATAACAGGTTAAAGGAGCTTGTATCCCCCTGACACTGTGGTCCTCTCTGTCTGCACAGCTTCCCAGCCCCCGGCCTGCTTGCCTGCCGCTATGGGGAGCTTCCTGTCTCCAAGCAGAACATACAGATATGGAGACTCATCAAAGGCCAAAGGGACTCTCTGGACAGGTCTCCAAATTAGCACTGTGACCAGTGTTTGGCTTTGGAGACTAATAAGCCTCATCTGAAAACAGTAAAAGCCTCTTCTGTTACTTTTACTCCCATATTAAATATAAAGAAGGCCAGCTTAATCCACTTAAAATCTCTTTATATTCAGACTCAAAGACACGATTATTCCTCTCTCATGATTTCAGTACAGTACTACAGTGCATGCATAGGAGACACCATCTGCAGCCATAATAGAGTTTAGTAATATCAGCATCAGTTGTTAATGAATACCCACTCAGTGTGTCATAATGAAATAATCAGGCCATTTTCATGATACAGAGTCATTGTAGAGCATGAAAAAAGATCAGGTGAGCTCTGACCATTTGAGCAACCTTACACAGCCAGAGAACTAGTGTCTTTCTTACTACATTTATATTACAAAAGCTGAATTTGAAAGTCATACTGTTTGTAAAGATGGCTGATGTACAGAAACTCCATAACTCCAACCTAACTTTAATGCATATTGTTCTGGTGTCCCCGCGGAGCTCTCATCGGCAGGTTGTTTTTGTATGCAGTGTCCTCTGTGCTGTTGCAACTTATGAACACTAAACAGACAAAGCCAAAGCCAGACCACACCTTGTTTGGTTTTGCTTCATATCCAAAACAGGCCAGAGTGTGTCAAAGCGTGTTGGACCATGACGGCATAGATCTTAGAGGGGACCAGCACACAGTGCACACTTGTCCCTCAGATAAGTGTTGCTAATGTGGTAGGCGACATGCTCAGTTAAGGGACATAACGAGTTCCAAACACTGATTAAGACTCCTCCCTTTGGCTGAAGGATGTTTGGAAGCATGATATTATACAAACGGATCCTAACCAGGACCAAATGGTGCTGTGCTTGTGCCTGTGTATTGCTCTTGTGTCATAAAAATAAGGTTGGTGCTTATTGGCTTATTCAAATAATCATGTGTTACCATAGTTATCAATCAGCTGATTGATATAGAATCTGTCACACTATATATGTGTGTAAGATGATAAGACTTAGGTTAATGTGAGAAGGTGGCTGAGGTGATAGGAGGTCAGAGAAAGTGATAATGTGTTAGTGGGAGATAAAGACTGCAGAGTCCCTTTAGTACAGGGGTGTTGGGGGAGCGTGGTACGACTTAACAGTTAAAAATGAAATAATGATCATTTGTGCATTTTGCTATTCAGGAAAAAAATCAAACACTAATTTTTTTTTCTCAAATGCATCTTACACTTTAACGTATGGCAGATCTTACATTTTGTTGTGTGAAGTTTAAGTTGGCACAGCTTCCACTTCCTAGTGCAAACATTGAAGCTGGTATCTCTTTCAATAAAGTGAGCTAAAGGTGGATTAGTTTGAGCACTGACTCCTGGAGCTGAGGGCACGTCCTGCAGCACAGGTTACAGAGGTTGCTACAATTACCAATAAAGCGTTGGAATCCTCTAGTGTCTGTTGTGGTACAGTATCTTGCATCAGTGAGCATAAATTAGATGCTAGTGAAACACAACTTAACAGCACACTGACTCAACCTGACCTCCTACACCCCTCATACTTACACATTGCACCTTCACACTTCTATGTTAACACTACACTCCACGAGTATACACATACATACAGTACATACACTCTACCTCCAGTAGTAACGATGAATGTCAAGTCCTATTTCCATAACTCATTGACAAAAAACATGAGATTTTTTTTTTTTTATTGCTCTCTGGTTCACCTTAATTTCAATGCTTGTGTAGGTTTGGGTGACTCTTTTAACTTAAGTGCCATTGCTCCTTGTCTTTGTGTTTTAAATACCTGAGCAGAACTTTTCTTTGTCCCTAAAGACAGTGCAGAGGCGGAGAGAAAAAGGTGCTCTGTTCTTGGATTAACTCTTCCATTCAGCTTCTGTTTTTTTTTTTTTTATGGACAGTTGGATGTAGTTTGTAGCAAGGATTATTTACCTCTGTGTTCAAGGACAGCCCTTCAGGCAGAAACAGCATTTAAATATCTTGTTTGAGTGCACATAAGCTTGTGTTACGAGAAGCATCTTCATCATCAGATTGGCTGACAACAGCTACTGCAAGGCCATTAAAATACACAAGCTGGATGTACAGTACAGAGGTCAGCTGCAGGGCTGTATCGCCTGGCAGGCACTGGATCACTGCCCTGCTCTAAAAGCACATCTCACAACCATTATCTGACCCTGTAAATAACCTCATAGGCAAATGCCAAGATCAGAGACTGACCTTGAAAGAACAGACTTTTTGTCAGTAATACACAGATTTTCTTTGGCTTTTGCTCTATCCACAGTTCTTCTGTCTTGAACACAGAGACTTTTATTCCTCTATACTTTTCACTCCAATCACTCTTAATACTCTCAGTCTTAAAAGAAGTTGAGCAGGTTCCATAGCTGCTTTTTAGAGAGCAGAGAAAAGACTGACTAATGCTAATGTTTGGCAGTGCTTTAGTGGCCCTACCTTGTGACCTGATGTATGGATGCTGAAAACAAAGAAGTCTTTGTGGGGAGACCACAGAGACATAGAGTTCACCCTCAGGTAGAGGCTTACGCAGTCTAAATCATTGCTGGGGCGTTTGTTTAAAATGGCTCTGTGTGGTATGTAAAATGAAAGGAGGGTGTTTTAAAAGTCGAGCGTAAATTCATCTTGATTTTATTGATAATTCATCATGTTTTTGTAATGTGGTTGGGCAGATGTGCTCAGTTTTTGTAAATCGTTTTCTCGCCAAACATGGCAGATCAAATTAACCTTTGCTTTGTAAGAAAAAGACAAGACTAAAAATCAAATCAAGTTTGCACATTCTGGGTTTGTACTTTATTGTGTTTTTATTAGCTTTAGCTTTTGCTGTTCTCATTCTTACTACTGATCTCTGTACGTGTGGCTTCGACATTTAAGATGCAGAGATTTCATTCTGCTCTTAACTCTAGGTGACGCTTGGCTGCATGACTCGCTGACACTAATAACATTCCTTCTTTTCCATTCAGGGGTTTTTGTTCCTGAGTGACTTGCTCTCATTAAGCTGCCATAGTAAGCTGCTTGGCACCTGCTTTAAATGCAACCACCACCCGCTCATTAACACTAACGAAAGCATGGCTGGCAGCCGCAATCCACGCCCAGACTCGTCAAATAGCCCCTTTGCTTAAATTAGCTACATTTCACAAACAATTTCAGCAGCATGCACAGTTAGGCATTTATTGGAAGATGACTGACTCTGTTTTAGAGGTGGTGTGTGTAATAAGCACTAGCCAGGTTAAGATGAGCCAACCCACATAATAAACCATAATTTGCTTACAAATTCAAGCTGAACTTTTATTCATTTCCACAGGCATTATAACTCACAAACTTCAGAGGGACTACTGGTACGTAAGGCAGCATACTGTACACTGTGTATTTATAATTACTTTCTGCACTGTCTGGATGCTGCTTGGAACTTTTTCTTAAGAATCTCATATAGCAGTCAGGCTCAGTCTTGGCCCCCTGACCGTTCCCTTCCCCCCTCCATGTTATTGTTTCTATTCCCAGTCTCAGATTTTTACCTCAAGGTCTCTGCAGTATTGACTTGTATTAATTCTGAGTAGGATTCAAAGTCCATTTATTTTCTTTACAGTATGGAAAGGCCTTGGTGACATGTCTCCCCTGTGTTTATAATTCTGCTTGTTTCAATTTGTGCTTGGCCTCCCCTGACAGACCCAGGACATGATGTATCGTACACCGCTGCCTTATCTGTTGATGTACAGTTTTAACCTTTTTCAGAAGGTTGCCTCTCTCAACTCTGAGCACGCTGTTCTCTCTTTTCTCCCCTATTTAGCCTCACCTCCCTATCCAGAGCACAGGA